GGGGGTCGCGGCATTAAAAAGGTTGAGAACCACCGCTCTAATGTTTTTATAACTTGCATTTCCTCTTATATCAAAATAAGCCAATATCATACCATGGGAAGTGAAATAGGCTTATTAAAAATAATAAGCTATATTCATCAAAAATGAAAGTAGAAGCTTCTACAATCTTTATGGCCATTTGAGCAGATAGGAAGGTGGCAGCATGCAACTCAAAGGGCAAGGCTCAGCTCTTTCTCACTCTGCATTACAGTAGTTCAGTGTGATAAAAAGTAGCTATTAGATGGTCAAGTTAGTTGATCACGTTTGAAAGACTCTTGTGTTCTTTTCCTGTATCGAAGTACCTGGCTCAGTAGTAGTAACTGTGAGAGGGATCTCGGTATCCTAGTGGAGAACCACTTAAAACATGGGCCAGCACAGTGTGCTGCAGCTGCCAAAAAAGACCACTGCAATCCTAGGCTGAATTAACAGCGGGATAGAATCAAGATCACGTGAAGTGTTAATACCCCCTTTACAATGCCTTGGTAAGGCCACACTGGGAATACTGCATCCAGTTTTGGTCGCCACGATGTAAAAAAGATGTTGAGATTCTAGAAAAAGTGCAGAGAAGAGCAAAGATGATTAGAGGACTGGAAGCTAAAACCATATAAAGAATGGTTGCTGGAATTGGTTATGTCTAGTTTAACGAAAAAAAGGATTAGGAGTGACATGACAGCAGTGTTCCAATATCTTCTAAGCAGGGGTTGCCACAAAGAAGAGGGTGTCCAGCTATTCTCCAAAGCACCTGAAGGTAGGACAAGAAGCAATGGATGGAAACTAATCAAGGAGAGAAGCAACCTAGAACTAAGGAGAAATTTTCTGACAGTTAGAACAGTTAATGAGTGGAACATCTTGCCTCCAGAAGTTGGGATACTCCAACACTGGAAGTTTTGGACAGCCACTTGTCCAAAATGGTATAGAGTTTCCTGCCTGAGCAGGGGGTTGGACTAGAAGACCTCCAAGGTCTCTTCCAACTCTGTTATTCTGAGATAATGGTAAGTGGGAATAACTTTGGTAAACAGGAGGAAGAGCCATAGAGTAGATAATAGTCAGATAAGAGGCAGCTAAGCCTGCAAAAGCAATGGAGGTATGGCAGACACCTCAGAAGAGACTCCCCCTAATTTCTTGGGCTGTAAAAGCAACAGGGGAGAAATATACTTTCAGACTTGCAAGATTCTGTTAACGTAACCTTACGATAAAATAGAATGTAACTCATCTGGGCATGCTTTGGGTCTGAACTACCTCATAAAGCTGAGAACCTCACAGGGCTGATAAATCTCATTTAAGATCCTTTTAGTCTGCATTATATGGATTGATAAGGAGAAGCCTGACTTACTACTTAGAATTGCTTTTGCGTAGGAGGAAACGGACGCGTCTGCTTCATTGACGATGAAACAACATTACCTGTGGACACAATGAGAGCCACTGGAGATTTTGTGAGAGTTAAGAACACTGAAATGTTTTTCTTGGGGCGGAAGGACAATCAAATTAAGCGGCATGGCAAGCGTCTCAACACTGAGTATGTACAGCAGGTGAGGTAATAGGTAACTATTTATGAGAAGCTTTTTGTTTGAGTAATAACAGAAGTGAGTTTGGGCCATGAAGAATCTGGATGGATAGATGTTACCTGAGTTTTTGAGATTGCTTCGATATTACTTACATGGAAGCAGACTGTTTAGTTAGCTACTCCTAGATTTTGAATTCTATCATATTCTCCAACTTCCATTTGGAGGGGCACCAAAAAGCTTAAAAATCAAAAGGTTAGGAAGCCATAAATTGAAGAAAAACTACCAGGAACAAACCTTAGGACAGGGGTCTTCAAACTTGGCCCTTTTATGACTTGTGGACTTCAACTCCCAGAATTCCTCAGCCAGGCACGCTAGCGGAGGAATTCTGGGAGTTGAAGTCCACAAGTCATAAAAGGGCCAAGTTTGAAGACCCCTGCCTTAGGACCACCAACAGAAAAGATCTTTTAAGAGCCACGGTGCCATTTGAAAACAAAGCTCTTCGTGAAGATGAGAAGGAATAGCAATACGACAAGAAAAATAAGACGGGTTCTCTTAAACAAATACAAGGGGATATCTGTATCCTGAATGTATCAGTGTGATCCTACACTGTGAGCAGTGCAAAGTCATGTGAAGAAGAAGGTGCTGGAGAAAAAACTGTCAGGCCTAAGCCTGAAGACAACACAATGACATCCAGTTGAGTCCAGGTCTTTATTTGCCTACATCTAATAGACAGAATCTCACCAAACTAAAACTATAACCTTCTAACCTAATAGTTATACCTTGGGAGATGTGGCTACCATGAACCCTTTCCTTCCCCTCCACCCAGTTCAGGACGGTGCAGTCTTGTCTTGGGCTTTGGAAAGTGCTGACTTCTTCTGTTTATATTCCATCACGAAAAAAGTCATGCATATCCATAGTTAAACAAGAAAGAAAGAAAAATGAATTCATCTCAGTTAAGCCACAATAGGTGATAGCATCTAGTCAACCGGCTGAACCTTCTCCCCTCATAAAAACCTATATGGGGCAGAGCAGGTGATAAATGGATAGGAGACCACTAGGAAATCCCAGGGCCGTAGGATAGACTGGGATATTATTCAGTTCCATGATAAGTAGATGGGCATGCCTACGAAGACACCCAGCGCCAAACACAACTTAAGGGAGTCTATTTTTTCTTTGGAAAAAAAAAGTAAGCCAATTTAATTCAGTGGAACCTCTTATATATGTGTTCAGCTGGTGTCTCTACTTTTTTAATGATTTAAACACATCTTTAAATATTTAAACTTGCTTGAATACATAACACGTGAATTAATCCTTCCTTTATTACCCCATCGAATTAATGAGTGCCTATAATTTTTATATTAAAATAGAACTGGTTTTGGTTTCAAATAATTATGATAATTCATGATGGGGGCAATGATATAAAATGAAGACAATTGCTGAGTTCATAAACAGTGCAAGCAATGTTTATTACTTGCAATAAAATTGTCTCGAACCATAATACTAAGGTGTCAAAGAAGGAGAATCTCAAAGAATAATTGAATCAAGGTGAGTTCATTGAGGCTGGCGGAAAAATAGGGACTAAAATTAGAGATACAGTGTTCCTAGTGCTAGGAAGAACATCACAAGAACTCTTCCTTTATGGATGGTGTCATACTTACCAGGGGCCTGAATTCTAGAATATCCCATCTCAAGCACATTGATCAAAGACTAATAAACATTTGTCTGTCTGCTCCATATCAAAGCTGGGTTGCAGCAAGTGTGGCTTCATATTTAGGACCCAAGCAGCAGGAAACACATCTACATCTTTGTGAGCTTCAAGCATTAGCATAACATGGTAACAAAGAAAAATATCTGTGATGTACTCCAATGGAGTATAGTCAAGATCTAGTGGGGTTTTTTTTCTTGGTTTAGAAAAGATTTGCTATGGGGTAGCTAACCACTTTGAAAATGATGTAATTTGCTACATCTCACCTTCATTAAATGAAAGGTTAAGTGGAATCAGACTGGTTAGTGTGTGGTTGGGAGACCACGAAGAAATTACAGAACTGTAGGCTAAACTTAGAAGTAGAGAAAGTAATGGCCAGCCACTTCTGTGTTGTTTTCAAACAAATCTACATGGATGAATAAATGTAGTCTCCAGGACTCAAATGAAACTTAAACTTAAACTCAGTTTAATTCCATTTTTGTTTGTTTCTCCACAGAGAAATGGAAATTCTGAGATTGGATGTTAGGAGTAAAATAGAGCAGTGGTTCTCAACCTTTTCTTCACCACGGACCCCCTTTAAATACTTTTTGTGGCCACGGACCCCCAAGACTTAAGATTTAAATCATAATATTTCTTCTTTGCGCCCCCCCCCCCCACGTTTCTGCGGCCCACTGGTTGAGAACCACTGAAACAGAGAATCGGTCTTTTTGGCAATACCTGTTAAAATCTTTTAGAACAGATTGTGTCCTCAGCACTTCAGCTGATCTTGACTTTAATTAGACTGGTTGGATCGTCTGTGCTTTCGTGGAACGGAAGATTACTTGAATTATAAAGGGAAGAAAAATATAGGGGTCTTCATCTTTCTATAGTTTTCTCAGAACCGTCCTGATTTTATTTTGCAGGTGGCAGAGAGCCTCTGCACAGTGGAAACCTGCGCTTTGATATGGTGCCAACAAGAAAAATTAATTCTGTTTGTTGCCCCCAAAGCTGTTTCCAAGAGGCGTCTTTTTAAAAAGCTCCAGGAAAGTCTCCCTAGCTATGCAATTCCAGATGAAGTTTTGCTGATTGATACTTTGCCATTCACATCCCATGGTAAATATACGTATATATGCCTATGTATGGTTAATGATATCTGTAAAAATATGACTCCCGGGTGTATTCATTATGAAATAACTAATTAATTTACGATCACCAGGAGGGTTTAAGTAAAAATACTTTAATTGAGTATAGTCTGCCACCAACAGACAGAGCAACAGAGTTTGGTCAGCGCTAGAAACACCAAGACAGATAACAGAGGGAAAGGCACTGAGACAGTTAGCAAAAGAGTCAAAATAAATGATAGAGTCAAACAGGATACAAACACCATAAAAACAATTGAAATGCAGACCAACCAGACAGGACTCAGGACTTGCTCCAAGAACCGAGCGCAAGTACTAACGAACATTATTTAAATCATTCCTTTAACTGGCTTTTAACCCTGAAGATGTTGGGAGCTCCCAACGAAAGCTCGGTTTTCAATTAAAGTATTTTTACTTAAACCCTCCTGGTGATCGTAAATTAATTAGTTATTTCATAATGCCTATGTATATATATATTTAAGATAAGAACCTTTATTGTCATTTTTTACTATGAGTACACTAACCCACATTAAAAATGAAATTTTGTTGCCTGCTCTCAAAAGAAAGTGTAAATCTACCAATACACATACATAACACACATATACACATGCTACATATATACTGTAACACACACACATATATATCACACACACACATACATATACACACACACATACATACGTATATACAGTAGTGGCCAAAATTGTGGAAACCTTTTGGGAAAAGTGTACAGTAGAAATGCCACCTTTGGTTAAGTTTCCACCCATTTTTCTTCTAATTTCTTTATAACTGTAGCCTTGTTCACTTAATAATACTATTTTACATCGCTTTCTGGGCAACCAGTCAGCTCTTTGCACCATTACTTTAATTTTATTGCGTTTTACAAGCTCACTAAATGAAAGAACACAAAAAAACCCAATCAACTTGATAGCGATCACATAACACACTGACAAATGTCCTCCTCTCAGCTTCAATACATGACATCAGTCGCTGAATCCTACTGTGATCTGATTGGCTCATTGCCAAAACAAGATGACACCTGATTGGCTCTCTAAACACTCATGCTCATTGGCTACAATCGGATGAAGGAAAGCTACCTGATCTCAACCTAAGCAAGTTGTGCTTCCTTTTTCTGGTTATTTGGCTATAACGTTTCATAGAATACAGTACAGATAATTGAACAAACTTTGTTGCATTACATTCTTGATTAAATTATCTTTCCATTGATATATAATTTTATGATACTACTCCCCCCCCAAAAGTGGTGTTATTAGCCATCAAACCTGAAAAATACACTTTTTCCAAAAGATTTCCACAATTTTGGTCACTACTGTATACACACATACACACACATATAAATATTAATCACTGTCCATTTTGAACACATAGTGGAAAGAGGAAATTTGAGAGTTCACAAGTTTGGTGCTATATGGAACAAAACTGGCTGAATCTGGATGTTCTGCTTCTGTTTTGACGCCTCCTCCCAGAAGGTAACAAGGAAAACAGGTTGTGAAGAGGATGTGTGGTGTCCCAGGCAATCCTGCAGACCTTGCTCAAGGATCGCTTACATGCCATGTTTGATTATATTTATTTATTTATTGACTTTATAAGCCACCCAATTCCATCACAACTTTGAAGGCATGAACTAATTAAAACAGAGTGATATAGAACCAGACAAGAACAAATGTACAGATAGAATTCGATCAGATCAAACATCACACGAGGGAGCCATCTGCCACGCTAGCTCATTAATTCAGAAACTGATTGGGTGTTTTCTTAGACTTCCAAATCTAAATAACATTTTATTGGAACGTCTTGTTACAAAAATAGCTGGTTTTTTTAGGGCGTAGGAAAACCTGAGAGAAGCCAAGTCAGACTGATTATGTGCCAATTCAAGTCAATTCTTAAGGATCACATACAGACATTTTCTCCAGGATGACCGGGTCTGGTCTCGTCCTTCAGGTCTTCAAGTGCGCTCACGACTACAGTGTTACTTTGATACTGTGTCCATTCAGTTTGCTTCTGGTCATCTTCTTTTCCTTTCCACTTTCCCCAGCATTATAGACTCCTGAAGGGAGTTGAGAATATGTCCAAAGTATGATCATCATTTGTGTCTGGTTATTTGTGCCTCAAGTGAGAACTCTGGATTAAGTTGTTTTCTCAGGAGTCTGTTCCAACTCCAGAGTTCAAAAGCATCAACACTTTTTCTGCTCTTCATTATCCAAATTTAACTTCCATAGAGTCTCACATGGAGAACTATTCCCTGTACCATTCTGATATTTGTAGAAATACAGGTACTCCTCAGATTACTCCTCAGTTCATTTAGCGACCGTTCAAAAGTTACAACGGCGCTGAAAAAAGTGACTTATGACAATTTTTCACACTTATGACCGTTGCAGCCTCCCCGTGGTCACGTAATCAAAATTTGGATGGTTGGCAACTGGTTCCTATTTACGACCGTTGCAGTGTCCCGGTGTCATGTGATTAGTTTTTGCAACCTTCTGACAAGCAAAGTCAACGGGGAAGCCAGATTCGCTTAACAATAATGTTACTCACTTAACTGCAATGATTCACTTAACAGCTGTGTCGAGAGAGGTCGTAAAATGGGGCAAAACTCACTTAACAAATGTTTCGCTGAGCAACAGAAATTTTGGGCTCAATTGTGGTCTTAAGTCGAGGACTACCTGTACATATATCATAGCATCTGAATATATTTTCCGAGGCCTTCTTGATTAGTGTGCCATGTTTTAGTTTGTGGCGTATTTCTTGACTGCTGGTTGGTTTGCTAGGAAAGCTGATGGCATAAGACGGAAGCTATCCACCATTTACATATTCTACAAAAGTACACAGTCGTACCTCATTCCTTGGATGACCTGGAGTCAGTCTGTTTTTCTATGTTTGATCCAGACTGTGGCTTCCTGAATTATATATTTGTTGTTGTTAGTTGCGAAGTCGTGTCCGACCCATCGCGACCCCATGGACAACATTCCTCCAGGCCTTCCTGTCCTCTACCATCTTCTGGAGTCCATTTAAGCTCACGCCTACTGCTCCAGTGACTCCATCCAGCCACCTCATTCTCTGTCGTCCCTTTCTTCTATTGCCCTCAATCTTTCCCAGCATCAGGCTCTTCTCCAGTGAGTCCTTCCTTCTCATTAGGTGGCCAAAGTACTTGAGATTCAACTTCAGGATCTGGCCTTCTAAAGAGCAGTCGGGTTTGATCTCCTCTAGGACTGACCGGTTTGATCACCTTGCAGTCCAGGGGACTCGCAGGAGTCTTCTCCAGCACCATGGTTCAAAGGCCTCAATTCTTTGGCGCTCAGCCTTTCTGAATTATATATAGGTGTTGCATGAAGACAATGAGATGTTCTGAGATTCCCATTTTTCTAAGCAGGTTCCACGACTTGACATGGTTGGCCCAGTCCAAGGCAAAAGAAAGCACATTACTGTCTTCCTTTTGTTATTCTTTGGTTTTCTCAATTTTCTAGGGTACATCAGCAATAATGTTTCTTGTTCTTTGACTTATTCTAACGCCGGCTTAAACGTCTGGCATTTCCGTCCCACTTAGGGCTCTAATCTGTGTTGGATGATCCTAAGCATTATTTTAGTAGTATGTAAGAAGTCCGGCTAACTTGAATTGATGGCTAATCTGTGTACCGCTGATTTGTGTTCTAACCAGAGTCTCAGCATTCAGACACTGCATGCTATGATGATGTTCTTACGTTTCTTATTCAGATATATCTGTATTATTTTAAAGTACCGTAAGTGTCTGAATGTGTGATTTGGAACATATACTGTATTGCATTTAGTACATAGTACACATGTATGTGTGTGTGTGTGTGTGTGTGT